GAGGCCAGTAGACCGAAGACAGCGTTTACAGTACCTGGCAGGCCACAGTATCAATTTAAGGTGATGCCTTTCGGGCTGTGTAACGCTGCCCAGAGACTGTGTCGATTGATGGATAAAGTGGTGCCATCGGAGCTGAAGGACCGGGTATTTATATACTTAGATGACTTATTGGTAGTATCTTCTAACTTTGACGACCACATGGACATGCTCAGAATTGTAGGCCAAAAGTTGACTAGGGCAGGATTGACAATCAACATGCAGAAATCCAAGTTTTGCTACAAAGAGCTTAAGTATCTAGGTTATATTGTCGGTGGAGGAAAGATTAAACCAGATGAAGGAAAAGTAACGGCGATATTGGATATAAAACCACCGAAGAACCCAAAGGATGTTCGCAAATTTTTGGGAACAGTAGGGTGGTATCGCCGTTTCATCCACGACTTTTCCACTCTGACAGCACCTCTCACCGACACCCTTAAGAAATCGCCTAAGTTCCATTTTACCCCTGAAGCATCAAGTTCGTTTGAAGAACTTAAACGCAGATTAGCATCTAGCCCCATCTTATCTAGCCCAGATTTTGAAAAGCCATTTTTCGTCCAATGTGACGCTTCAAATGTTGGAATAGGCGCAGTCCTATTCCAAAAAGACGATGAAGAAGGGGAACATCCCATAGAATACTTTTCCAAAAAACTTAATAGTGCGCAAAAAAACTACTCTACAACCGAGAAAGAATGTCTCGCTGTAGTGTTAGCAATTGAAAAGTTCAGACAGTACATCGAACTGATGGACTTCACAGTTATAACGGACCATTCAAGTCTGAAATGGCTAATGCGACAGCAAGACTTGAACGGAAGACTAGCCCGATGGAGTTTAAAACTTCAAGGTTACAAGTTCAATATCGAGCACAGGAAAGGTACCAAAAATGTTGTCCCCGACATGTTGTCGAGACTAGATATGGAGGAAATAACCGTTAGCACTAATTCCATAATTGATTTTAATTCTGAATATTTTAAAAACAGAGAATACCTTGCTATAATTGATACAGTAGAGGAAAATAAAGACAGACTCCCAGATGTTAAGGTTGTCGAGGGTATATTATACAAAAAGGTCAAGTTTAATAGAAATGATATGGACAATGAAGATGAGTGTTGGAAAGTATGGGTACCATCAGATTTGACCGAAGGTATTATAAAATGGTTTCATACTGAGAATACTTCGCACGGGGGAATTACAAAGACTCTATTCAATATTCGTGAGTACTTTTATTGGCCTTCCATGGTGAAGCAGATTCGAAACTACATTAGAGAATGCGAAACATGTAAGGAAAGTAAACACCCGAAACAAATATTAAGACCACCTATGGGTAAAGAAGTGCAAACGCAAAGACCTTTTCAAAAAATTTATATAGATTTTTTAGGACCATACCCTAGATCTAAGAATGGCAATACCTCTATTTTGATAGTTTTAGATCATAAAACTAAATTTGTTCTACTAAAAGCATTAGCAAAAACAACTACAAAATCAACTATAAAGTTCTTGAGAGATGAAGTTTTTTATAAATTTGGAGTGCCAGAATTTGTGCATTCCGATAATGGCAAGCAGTTTACTGCTGAAGCTTTTAAGGAATTCTTAGCCTTGTTTGGAGTAAAACATCTCCGCACTCCCATTTACTCACCACAGGCCAACGCCAGTGAGAGAGTAAACCAAAGCATTCTCAGTTCAATTAGAAGTTTTCTAGATAACGACCAAACAAAATGGGATGAAAATTTATCTAAGATTGAATGTTCGTTAAGGTCTACAATTCATGCATCGACCGGTGTAACGCCATTTTTCGCACTAACAGGCTATAACATGATAACACATGCTGACGCCTATGAAATATTAAAGAAATTGAGATCAAGCGAGGAAGGCGATATGTTAGTCTTACCAAAATCTGCACATATGCAACTTATTCACCAACAAATAGGCGAAAAACTACATGATGCCTATTTAAAAAATGAGAAACACTATAATCTTAAGAGTAGAACTGTTAGATACAAGCCTGGACAAGAAATATATAGAAGGAACTTTATACAAAGCAACTTTGCAAAAGGCATAAATGCCAAGCTTTGTAGACCATGGCTTAAGTGTAGAGTCCGAAAAGCGATAGGAAACAATAGCTATGAGATCGAGGACCTTAAAGGAAAACTAATAGGAGTAATACACGCTCAGCACCTCAAACAATAAAGAGTGGAAGGAAAAATTGTTGCTCGATATCCATGTTGGAATGTTACTTACTTCTTTTTACTGAGTTTAATCATTTTCCCCATTACCATTGTATAGCATTACAGGTCAGAAAGTGTCCTTTTTTTTCCCTAATCTTTTCACTTCACAGGCTGCGTGAAAAGATCAGGCTTTGTGACGGCTAGACAACAATATTTATTTATTTGACCGTAATTTGTTTTAAATAATTTATTTTTGACAATAGCTTCTACCAATTTTATTTATTTTTGTTCACATTATTATGATTTTCTTCTTATTATGCTAGTTCAAGTGAATGGTTAGCATTAAGCATTACAAACTAACATATGACATCGGTTTTGACTGTGACGTATAGGTGGCGGTGACGTAAATGATAGATACACTGTAAGGTTGCATTCTAATTTCACCAACAGATCAAATGACCTTACAGTGTACTTGAACGTTACCGAAACTCGTTGAAAGTGACGTCACCGTTAAGACGATGGAATCACATGTAACGACTATTACTGGTCATTTTGTGTTAAGAGTCAGAACAATGAAAAGCTAAAGGAAATAACTTAGCTAGGAAAAGTGTCACTTGTTTAGTATAGAATTGTAATAATTGAAATCGATTTGATACATTAATATTAATCAATTGGATGAATTAAAAATTTTTTAATACCATTAGGAGAATATTTGAAGGTAATTAAAAAAAAGAGAAATATATGACAAATATTTATCTAAAGTTATTCCAAAATACACCGATGTAATTAAACCACTTTAAAACTCCTATTTTATAAAATCAAATAACTACAAATTAATTTAATTTAAATTTGCCTATTTCATTTGTAAAATAACGTTAAAGAATTGTCAAATTTAAGATATTAATTTTTAGTATTTTTTTTTTGATTAAGTTTGAAATAACTTTAGAAAATGTTTTTTTATGTTACCAATATATACTGCTGTGAATCTTTTTGCTAAAACCAAAAACATCAAATTATATGTAGGTTAACGACAGTGACATCTGCGTTTCAGATCTCTGAACTGAGATAGAAATAGCGTGGTCATATACCCACAGAGCTCGTTTTTCTACACTATAAAGTTATACAAGTATAACAGCAAGACAACTTTGTAGGAGAAGGATTTATATCCCACAACTCTACAAACTCATATAAAATATACCATCACGTTCAACAACCAGTGGATGATAATTCGAAATCAGGGTGAACCAACAACAAATATTTTCAAGGAAAAAGATAAGTAAATTTGAAATTGGAAAAACGTTTTAGACCCTAATTGACAGTTGACCGCTACATGTCACACACGTGGTCCCACGTGATATTCACGTGGAGATCACTAGTTTGACATTGGACAGTATTATTACTAGAAAAGTCATTAAAAATCTGATAACAAAAATAAATCAATTTAAAGTAACATATTTGTAAATATAAAAAAAAAAATTATAATACCTAATATTATTTGTTATATATATTTAAGTATTCTATTTTGTTATTTTATATACTAATCCCTATTAAAGTAAAACAATTCTAATTGGAATATAAAATATTTAAAATTAACCTAGGCGAATGTTTTGATTAACAAAACATAAAACCAATAGATTGTAAGTCTATATTACAACTTTAAATAACAACTTTAGATAAACGAATGTAAACAAAACTCTTATAAAAACAATTATTCTAAAAACAAAATATGATTCATAACTGCTAACTAATATGATTATTTAGTTATTTAATTAATTAAATAATTTAATTAACATGGAAATGTTGTTGAATTATTTAGTATTGTTCTTTTTTTGCTAGCAACAACTTTGATGTCAATGAAGCAGTTCTGGATCATTCGCTTTAGAAATTATTGTTATTAATGAAATTAAATAAATAAAATAAATAGAATGAACAACCAAATAAATAAATAAATAAATAAAATAAATAAATAAATAAATAAATAAATAAATAAATAAAATAAATAAATAAATAAATAAATAAATAAATAAATAAATAAAATAAAATAAATAAATAAATAAATAAATAAAATAAATAGAATGAACAACCAAATAAATAAATAAATAAATAAATAAATAAAATAAATAAATAAATAAATAAACAAAATAAATAAATAAATTAATAAAATAAATAAATAAATAAATAAATAAATAAATAAATAAAATAAATAAATGAAATAAATAAATAAATAAAATAAATAAATATATAAATAAATAATCAATTAAATAGTCTGACGTCTAATTGTTTATATTTTATATATAACTAAACAAGACAATAATTAAAATAAATCAAGGAAGAAAAAGGAAAAACGGAAAAACAAAATATAAATATATGCTCATATCTTAACAAATACAAAATATGTAAATAATTATTAAATATCGGTTAAGATATGAATAAAATATTAATATTTAAAATCATTATATATATTTAAGAGCTATTCCTAATTTTTTCATGTGTAATTATTATTAGATATTTGTAACTTCTATTATTAATTATTCAGTTTTATTGTAAAGTATAATATAATTATTCAATTATAATTTTTCTTATTATTCTGTATTTTTGTGGAGTAAAACTGAATTGTTAGTATTTTAAAAACGTGATTTATAAATAAATGTTATGAACTTTGTATGAAAATCCTTTGAAGATGTGCTAAACAATATTCAAATAGGTTGATATGTAGCAGGATTTAAGAAAACTAATAGTCCAACCTTTTATTAGGGACATCATTTAAATTTTTTTTTAACTTTTTTTAACAGGCAAGAATGATGTCACGGATGACTGATATCAGTCATAGTGGGAGGGTAGCCTGTACAGGAACTTTCCATCTAATCCTGGAGACTTAAGTCCACTGAAGTAAAGTGTGTCATCTTTGTCCGATCGTCCAAAGTCAGTCCGCTAAATACACCAGGTGATACGAACAAGAATACTTTTTTTTTTTAATTTATATGGCACGAATTTGTTAATTGTGAAAACCAGCGGAAAAACAACCCCCCCAATCCGGCGAGCTACAGCCGCGGCGAAGACCAGTGTGCCATATCCGCTCAACCACAAGGAGGTCTATCACAAATTCAATGTACTATTTGAGTTTTTAAGTTAGTAATCCAAAGCCATAATCTTAAACAAGAAAATTGCGATCAATTTTACTCGATCAGGGGTATTATCGTCATTCGGCCCTAAGTGTTAGTATTTTTAATAATTTTTATGTGGAAAAGTTATTAGACAAGTATAAATCATAAATTATAGACCCGTGCATTTTCGAAATAAACAAAAAAAATTGAAATGTTCTTAAACAATAGATCAATAAAATGATACGCGATCGTTTATCTGAACTTAAAGAGGTGAGTTTTTGTAATAAAAATAAATGCATTATGACTGAATATAATTTAAATCTTTGTGCTTAGGTGATGTGTTCTATACACGATCCCTCAGAATTCCTGGTTATAATTGAAAATGACGAAACTGATGAATGTTACGAACGTGAACACAGTCCGGCAATGGATGGCTTATTTAAAATGGTAAGTTTTAAAGAGAAAGAAAGAGCTTTAAAGGAAACTACTTTGGATATAACAAAGATTTATTTATAAATTTTAATTAAACAATAAAGAACATAATATGTAAATACTTGGAGGTATATTTACAAGGGTAGCAAGCAAATATGTTTTAAATTTGATAAAAACAGAAAAGGGGGTACTTCACCCAGCAAAAACATACATTGAAAAGTAAGGGGTTAAAATGTTAAAATGATTACTTACACAATAACATTTTAAATCATTATTATAACACATTGATGACATTGGAGGCAAGTACTTATGACACACGCTTACACATAGGGAGTTAGGTAAGTACTTACTACTATCGCCTGCCAATTAGGAGTTATGTAAGTAGTTCTGTAGCCTATGGGGATACGTCCACTGCTTCCACTCCTAATTTTTCGTTTTTGTAAACAACAACATTTGAAAGCAAACTGTTAAGGCTAAAATGTAAGTGCTTACGTAAGTCATTACTAGACATCTTCTAGCGTACATACAACCGTACCCCCTGAATAGTGGGTAAGTTGAAATAACACTGCCGATTTTTATAATGATCGGGCCTAATATTACACTAGCCCCCATACAAACTCCCCTTCAAAAAATTACTTGAAAATCAAAATTTTTGTTTGTTTGAAATAACTTATAAAATTAACCACGAAATTAAATAATATTTTTCTTGGTAAATTTTTTGCAGTACAATAAAATACCCAATGAATTCGATTTAATATTAACCAATATTGATACAATGAAAATAATGAGCCAGGCAAAGAATTCCAAAAATTTTGATGGTAAGTATTTTTCAAAAATATGTTTTCCAAAGGATATAATTTCAGATATAATTTTCAATAAAATTCTTCCTAAACAGTGTTATTAATAAAATCTCTTAAATTCAAATCAGAGTTTTTAATATATCACATTGGATAGTATTGCTGATATTATTTCCATCGGTATAAGATTAAGGCCCATTACCCCAACAATTATATGATTTTTCTTATTCACAGACAAAGAATTTTATAAAGTACGTTTGAATACCCTACAAATTGGCAATAAACTTATGAATAAATTTCAATCAATACGTAAAAATTTGCCAGAAGAAAATGACTACAGTACCATGGCACGTATGCAACGTTCCCTTTATTATGGTTTCTTTGAGAACTATGTGAAAATTTGGACTAAAAACGATCAATCTTTCATGAGTATGAGCAAAAAGTAAAGAAAAACCTACAAATGCAATCGAAAATATGTAAGTTAAAACTTTTAAAGAAGTTTCACTAAATATCTCGCTTAAAAAGATATTGGCACTTTAGTAAATTATGATCTTACGGAAGAAGAAATTGATACTCTAATAGCCCATCGAGTTACCACTTTATATGATGCCAATGTGAGTTGATACCTCTATTGATAACAAATTTCCTTTAACCTATTATTATTTGGTATTTCTGCAGATCTTAGAAACCGAACATGCGCGCAAAACTTTAAAAGTTCTTAAAGATCGCCTGCGTGAGTTGCAAACATTGGAAAAGTCTATTGAAGAGGTACATTCTTTATTCATACGTCTTCAAATCTTAATAGCAGATCAGGTATTTGATATTATTTAGATATTACTTGCTGAATTCTTTTATAATTTATCTCTTAGGGAGTTATAATACAACGCATCGAAAACCATTTTAATGATTCCTGTGATTTTGTTGAGGTAGCGGCTCATAAGTTAGAACAAGCGGAAGGTCTAAAAAATAAAAATCGAATGGTATGTTTGAACTCGCTAATTTGCAAGTGAAGTACCCAGCAAAAACTTACATTATAAAGTAAAGAATTAAAGTACTAAAATTTACTTACATATTTAAAGTCACCTTGTGGACATTGGAAGCAAGTACTTACCACGCTCAGTTACAAGTAGGTAGTTGGGTAAGTACTACGATCGCCTACAAGTAAGGATTTACGTCCTTTGATAAAAAAGGCTAAAAAGTAAGTACTTTGTACGTATATACATAGTTTGTAAGTAATTACTAGACTCCTTCTAAGTAATGCAGGCGGTATGTCGAAGACATTTAAAAGTAAGTTTTTGAGTAAGTACAAGTCATTACCATGTTTTTGCTGGGTATGTAAATGTGGGAATACTTTTAAATCTGAATAAGTAGAAAAGGGAACTTGATTAAGAATCAAAATTCGGTCCAACTCGAATTCTAAAACATTAGGCATTACAAAATGTATAAAATAAAGACAAAATAGTTTTGGGATCAAAGTGGCAGTTTCTCAACCTGCGTTTTGCCTTTTGAAAATGTTTGGATCTCAGAAAAAAAAAAGGATTTCTTAATCAAACTTTCACAACCGAATTACATTTCTTAATTTATTTTAGTATTTGTTTTTTATTTCAGAACGCAATAATTTTATTTTGTTTAGGCGTATTTGCTGTAACAACATTATTCATACCACGAAAGAAAAAAATTAAAGAAGGATGCATTGACTTGCTATTTTAAAAAGGATCTCTCTAAAACAATTCAAATAAAAATCATTTCAAAGCCCAAATAGAACAATAAAGGTTTTTGTAAAAATCATAAATTCGACGTTTTTTTTTTTTTTGTAAAAATTTTTTAAATCAATTTCAGCTTTTTTAATGGAAAATGTGATTGATCACAAAATAGGCTCGCATCTTTTATACCTGTCAACATTGTGAGAAAGGGATCTATATATGTATACATAGCAAGTGTCGAGTAACTGACTGAATAATTCATCATTGCACATCCCATACCTCTGAAATTTTGAATACATAGATAGATAGATAGATAGATAGATAGATAGATAGATAGATAGATAGATAGATAGATAGATAGATAGATAGATAGATAGATAGATAGATAGATAGATAGATAGATAGATAGATAGATAGATAGATAGATAGATAGATAGATAGATAGATAGATAGATAGATAGATAGATAGATAGATAGATAGATAGATAGATAGATAGATAGATAGATAGATAGATAGATAGATAGATAGATAGATAGATAGATAGATAGATAGATAGATAGATAGATAGATAGATAGATAGATAGATAGATAGATAGATAGATAGATAGATAGATAGATAGATAGATAGATAGATAGATAGATAGATAGATAGATAGATAGATAGATAGATAGATAGATAGATAGATAGATAGATAGATAGATAGATAGATAGATAGATAGATAGATAGATAGATAGATAGATAGATAGATAGATAGATAGATAGATAGATAGATAGATAGATAGATAGATAGATAGATAGATAGATAGATAGATAGATAGATAGATAGATAGATAGATAGATAGATAGATAGATAGATAGATAGATAGATAGATAGATAGATAGATAGATAGATAGATAGATAGATAGATAGATAGATAGATAGATAGATAGATAGATAGATAGATAGATAGATAGATAGATAGATAGATAGATAGATAGATAGATAGATAGATAGATAGATAGATAGATAGATAGATAGATAGATAGATAGATAGATAGATAGATAGATAGATAGATAGATAGATAGATAGATAGATAGATAGATAGATAGATAGATAGATAGATAGATAGATAGATAGATAGATAGATAGATAGATAGATAGATAGATAGATAGATAGATAGTTTGGTAATATGTTGGTAATTATGGGTAGGGTTCTATAAATCGACTTTCGAATAATCGAACAATCGACTTTTTGTCGAAAAAAGTCGAAGTCGACTATTTTGTTCTAAAAAAGTCAATAACTCGACTATCGTCTGTGAAAAAAGTCGAAAAGTCGACTTTGTAATAAAAGTCGAAAAGTCTGAAAGTCAAAAAAAGTCGATAAGTCGAAAAAAGTCGAAAAGTCGAAAAGTCGTAAAAAGTCGACAAGTCGAAAAGTCGGAAAAGTCGAAAAAAGTCTGAAAAAGTCGAAAAGTCGGAATAAGTCGAAAACTCCAAAATTGTAGAAAAAAGTCAAAAATTTTAAAAAAGTGGAAAAAAAAGTCAAAAACTCTAAAATAGTCGGAAAACCCGGGAAAAATTCTAAAAATAGTCGAAAAAAGACGAAAGAAGTCGAAAATAGTCAAAAAAGTCGAAAAGTCGACTTTTAACTAAATGAAAAAGTTGAAAAGTCGACTTTTCGTTTCAACTATAGAACCCTAATTATGGGCTAACACTAAAATATTGGAATTTTTAACGTACAATGTACCAATCTGCAATACTTTGGGTACTTTTTTGGTCTTTTTGAATTTTCTATAATATTAAACCTAGAAGCACAAAATTTTTGAATTTTCTATAATATTGAAACTTGAAATACAAAAATTTTAAATATAGAGTCCTGAATGAATAAGAAACTATAAGAATTTGTGAATTTTCCTTAATGTCAAACTGAAACATAAAATTTAACATAAAATTGAACATACCCGGTCCTTATTTAATGAGAATCTACCAGAGAAAACTTTTAGGTAGTTTTTCGATGATGTTTAAGAATTTTCTATAATATGGAATGAATACAATTAAAACTTAAAATTAAACCTGCAGGGTCCTGACTGAATGAGAAACTATATGAAGGAATTTGTTGGTAATATTGAACTTATATTGTGAATAGTTATAAATGGCGAATTCGATTTGGAATAAATTACAATATATTTTATGTTTTCCCTCAAAAAATTTTTTTGCATCACCAAACTATAGAATATTTTCCATTGTGATTTAATTTACAAAACAGAATTATCGCTCTATTAGCTAAAACTCTTTTATTCTAAAATTAAATAAATAATGCAAATATTATTATTATAATTATATTTAAAAAAATCTAGTCATTGCGGTTTTACATTTCTGTAATTGTTGCAAATAAAAGGAAAAATAATTAGTATTATTTCAACCATAAAAGAAACAACTTTAAACAACAGGAAAATATAAACGTTATAGAAAAATGATTAAAATTAAAGATCGTCTGCCAGATTTAAAAAAGGTTGGTGAAAAATGTTTGATGAAAAATATTTTCATTTGTTATTAGTGATGATCATATATTAAGCAATAAAATTACTTTATAGAATATACAAATTCAAGATGTAGACAAAGAACTTAGCAATTACGAAGTGGTAGTAGAGGAAGAACCTGAGCTAGAATATAAGCCATATAATGGACCTGTGGGGAATTTATTGAAAAGGGTAAGATTTTGGAAATATGATCATAATTGTAAAATAATTAAGTATAATAAAGAAAATTCAAATGGTATAAAAATGTTATTCGAAAAAAATAAATTTTTTCTACTTTTTCTAGTATTTATATATTCACGTTAATCTAAAAGAAATTGAAAATCTTTTGTTAAATATGAAATCTATGACAACCGCAGAACACATTAATAATTTTAATCGTATGTATAAAAATTCACTCATAAAAATATGTTAATATTTTTTATAATTTTTCTTTTTATTAAATATTTAGAAAAAGAATTTAATAAATTACGAGCTGATAGTATTAAGATTGGTAATGATATTATTAAAAGATTTAAAAAATTGGAAAGTAAATTGCCTGATCAGGAGGATTCTAGCACATTGGCACGAATGAAAAGATCACTGTACTTTGGTTTCTTTCAACAATATATTCTACTTTGGTCTAAAAATGAACAATTTCTAATGGATTTTGAACAAAAGTTAAAGAAACGTTTGCAAATGCAATCACAAATTTGTAAGTAGAAATACAAATTGTCTTTTGCATAATTATATTTAATAAAAAATGTATTTATTTTAGTAAATTGTAATTTATCGAATGACGACATCGAAACGATGATAGAAAATAAAAATACCAATTTATTTATGTCAAATGTAAGTCAAAAGGGACAACAAATATTTGTAGAAATTGATTTTCTCCCAAACCATTATAGATTCTACAAGACACCGAAACCGAACGTAAAACTCTACAAGAACTTCAAGATCGTTTTGAGGATTTAAAAAAATTGGAAAAATCCATAACTGAAGTTCATAATTTGTTTATAAGTTTACAAACTCTGGTGGCCGAACAAGTAATATTTGTTTTTGATAATTGAAATTCAATAATATACATACATACAATTTTTTAAACAGGGTGACGCTATACAACGCATTGAAACCCATTATAATGCAGCCCGTGATTATATAGAAGAAGCCACTAAAACAATTCTAATAGTGGAGAAAATGAAAAAGCAAAGATGTTGCCGTATTTGCTGTTGTTTTTAAATTTGAATGTTGTGAAATTACCTTATTATTCTTTTCAACATAATATAAATAAATTAGTTAATAAAAAAGTCCAAAAATGTTTTAAAATTCATTTAAACTTGTTCTACTTTACATCTGGCATCTTTTTTCTAATATAAAGTTAAATTCAACTTTCATTTCCTGTTTATAATGGAAACGTTACTTTCTTTGTTTTGATAATTTGAACTTACCACTTCCTGTCACTTCCAAGCAGTAAAAAAAAGCTGGTAACACAAACTTTTTGACATAATCAAAACACTGGTAACTCTCTACTTAAAATTTGTCTCGCGCGCTTTTATTTAACAACTTAAAAATCTACACACACACACCCACACACATGAAGGAATTTTTAGCTTATTTTTACACTTAATTTTTTGCTTTAAATTTCATATTTTTTGAATGGCCTTCATATTAAACGAATAAAACTTTAATTTTTCTATAAAATAACATTAATTTCAATTAGCTTTAAGCACTTTTGACGTTTTAAATCAATTAATTAATAGAGCAAATTCACTTAAGCAACCGTTTGACACTAAAAAAGAAGACGAAACTAAAGGAAATGAAACAGGGGATGCCACAAATCGAATTTATTGGCAAATACAACTTTGTGGTGCAACAAGCTTGCCATATTTTAGATTTTGCAATATTTTTGAATAAATTACATAAAAATAAATTTTTCAATTAGTTATTAATTACTAATTTTTACTTCCTTTTTATAAAGTTGTAAAAGGCAGAGTACATATAACCCCAGCAAACATTTTCTATTGCGAAAGTCACCCGTGTGAAACTTCCAAGTGATGAAATTGTTCTTCTGCGATAGTTGACAAGAACTGATTCCGAGTGGTATGACAACTAGAGATCATGTAGCAAATACTTTTAAAAGACTCACAGAAGAGACTACTGGATGACTCTTGGCAGTGAGTAATTACCAAAGTCATTCCTTGGAATGACTTCTAAGTGTCCCTATCATATCTTCTAGGAGATAAGATATCACTTAATCTTTTTATATACTCACACACATAAAATCAAGCAAGTAACTGCCGGTCCACACTAGGAAACTTTTTTTGGGAAACTTTTGATTTTGCGTGAGAGAGAAAGAGAAAGAATATCATTCATCTCTCTCGCGGTACGGAGTTTCTCGTGCTCGGAAACTTGTTTTGTTATTTTTCTCATTCGTATAACAACTGCCGGTCCACAGTAGGAACCTTTTTTTGGGAAACTTTTGATTTTGCGTGAGAGAGAAAGAGAAAGAATATCATTCATCTCTTTCGCGGTACGGAGTTTTTCATACTCGGAAACTTGTTTTGTTATTCTTCTCATTCGTAGAACAACAAATCAATGCAATTAATACCTAGTTTCTGAAACAAAAGTTTCTATGTGTGGACATTAAGGAAACATCAGAAGAGAATTAAGAAAAAGTTTCTCAACAAAAGTTTCCTAATGTGGACCAGGTCTAACAAATCAATGCAATTAATACGTAGTTTCTGAAACAAAAGATTCTATGTGTGGACAGTAAGGAAACTTCAAAAGAGAATTAAGAAAAAGTTTCTCAACAAAAGTTTCCTAGTGTGGACCAGGTCTAAGAAAGTATAGCCGGGTAGACCATATGATACCCTACACCAGTGGGTATGTTAAAAATGTGACTTATTTTTAATAATTTGATTTTCTGAAAGGTGGGTTATATATGCGCAAGGATAAATGTGGGCCTATTCTTTCAATTTTTAGTAAAAGATGACATTAAATTTATTTATGGTATATTTTATCGTGATACAATTGTTTATAAGTGAATTAAAATCTGTATTAATCTTCAAACTCTTGACTTATATACTTCGAAAGATTATAAAACTTTGGATTCTATTATAATAATTTTTGTCTTCTAAATGTTTGAAGGGATAACAAATAAATAGACTTTGTTTACAAACAAACTAGTTGTTGCTGTGAGAGAAACAAACTGGAATAGAAAAACCACCAAAACAAACACATCTGGCATCTTTGTTTTTGAGTAAATACAACAAAACAAATTTTAATTGAAGAGGACAATAAATAAAAACGCATAAATTTTTATTTTGGCTTTATAAATAAAGCAAAATTTTAATAATTTTCTTATATTTTTATGTGAAAATATATTGCAAATTGTGCGTCTAATGTGTGTGTTTTCAAAATAAACCAAAAGCTAATATTTTAAGGCGAAAAATGCTCGAAAATTCTTAATAAACATTTGACAGCCATCTTGGTATTTTGTGTATTTTATTGGAGGAGGTCTGTGAAAAAGTCTCGATTTTAAAGACCTTCTGATTAAAATAGATTAAAAATTTTCAAGGTTTTTGGCAGAAAAGGATCTAGAAATTATTAAGCAATTAATAATTTTATCAAATTTAATACAAAAGTTTTGTAATATTTACAAATGGATAAAGGTCAACTGCCTGCAGACAAATTAATGAACTCTGAAACAAATGCCGATGATGGTTGCAACAATCGAGATGACGTAGCTGTGGCAGCTAAAAAGGAAAAATCAAATGTTGTGACCAATGTGAGTGAGACAATTTCAGCGCCGACAAATGCCAGCACTCACCCAACCAAAACTACATTGCGTGGCAAAGAATCCCTCGAAAAAAAGCAAGATGTTATTAAGACTGTACCAGAGGTAAAGAAAACGTTTTGCGCATTTGCATAAATTTAAATGCATTTACTTTCACTTTGTGTTTTCTATGTTTTTTTTTGCAGGCGGACACTGAGGAACTCTTGGGTTCTGTTACCACCTACAATTGTCATGGCACACGCACTAGTGCGCGTGTTATACAGAAAATGCGCCAAGATCAACAGACACGACCGATAACCCCACCACCCTCAGAACGTGAAGGCGGCCGTAAAGAAGAACGTGCTGCTGCGCAAAAAACACCCTCCCAAGTGCGTGCCAATCGTCCCACCTGGTCAAATATTGAACGTAATCATTTCTTTGATGCTCTCAATGAATTTGGCAAAGATTTCGAGGCTATTGGCAATTTTATTAATACCAAACTAAAAAGACGCAGTCCCGCCACCGATGTTTCTTTTAAATCAAAAGATCAAGTGCGTCAGCATTATTATCAAACCTATCATAAGATCTGTAAATATATACGATTTTCAGAGGGTGAGTTAGAAATTAAAACATTTTAAGAAGCTTAGTAATCTTTCGAATTGAACTATGTGTAATTTATGAAATTTTATTTCTTGCAGAGGTTCGTAAACCAGTACAAGAATTATATGCGCTTATAAACTACGGTGAAATGCGACGGAAATTGCAATTTGTTACCGATAAACATTTTATGAAATTACGAAATCTCATTTATCATGGACACATATCTGTACGTTGTAAGGGCAAAAATATACGCATTAAAACGCCTTCTTGTAAAGCCTTAAGAAGACTCAATCAATTAGATGGTGAGTAAATGAAGTAAATTAAAAGAAATATTTTATAAACAACTCTTTTTACTGTAGACACCCTGGAGGATATACGTTTACCTTCCAAAATTGAGGTGATTATAAGTCCCGCTAATATGGAGGCCTTTGGACGTGTTCAAACTATTGCTCAAAATCCTAGATGTCGTACCACGGTGCCATTGCATAAAAAACTTGTAAATTTTATTAAAACCTTCGAACATAAATGGCGCAGTATGGATGTAAGAATAGCCGAAGAAGCTAAAATTATGGCCACACAAGAATCCTGTACTGGACAGCAACAAACCACGACAGCTACACATTTAAACGATTTGAATGTGCAGGATAGTGAAATGTGTTTTTTACCCAAACCGGGAGTAACCATACACCGACCTTTACTTAGTATTACCGAATACTTAAGTAGCGTTAATATATGTTTAACAGCCTATGAAGAACGTATGGGTGTTAAGGTTAAAGGAGAGCATTTGAATGCTGAAAGAAATAATTTACAGTCTGCCACTTCAAATAACAACATATCCAGTAGTAGTAATAAACGTTTACGCACTGAAAGTGGCTCTGAAAAACGTTCACCCGAGCAATTGAAAAGAATTAAACCTATAGATAATTCTTATGAAAACCTTATAGCCACTGTGGAGGAGGCTCAACTCTCATCAAATGAAAATGATTCCTTTAACATTGCCAAAAACGAAAGTAGTGGCGATGAATTAAGTGATGAAATACATGAATTACTTTCGGATTCTAATGAACTTAATACCAGTAAAGAATTTCTAGTTACCACAGAAAATCTAAACCCACCGCCGCCACCACCACCACCGCAGCCGGCAGTAACATCTACAACTGCGGTCGTCTCCGAAATTACAAGTGCAAATTGTATGTCACAACTCACAACGGCTGCACGTTCTAGACGTACACTGGCCAACAAACCATCACGTACAGTATTTAAACCTCTGCTCAATGACGATGTTATACAACGCATACGAAGTGGCTGGACCTCTTCGAATGCTGGTGATATAACTATAGGCGATTTATATGTAGTTTTTGGTCATGATTCGAAATTACAATTAGACTACTATTGGATGCCTCCTAGGCAGCCCTCTAAAAATGAATCTCAAATTAATGAACTAACCGCTAATATAACGAAACAACATGTTTTAACGAATACAAAGCAAATTAATAATAATAATTGTGCTAAAGATTGTGATGAGGGAAATTTGCAAAATTCTTTACAAACATCGGCCTTGAGTAATAAACTGAAACAACTTTTGTTAATAGCGAATTTAAGTGAACGTATGCGTCGCCGCTCCTGTACATGTGATCGAAGTAATGCTGCTAAGGTTAAGGTAAAAATGTTTATTTTTTAGATTTTTTGTTTTGTTAATAAAGTGGATTTTTTTCTTTAAATTTTAGTTTGAAAGAGATTTAACGGGTCGTACATTTATTGCTAATAAATCTTATGCCAATTGTGGTGTTAATAGCCCTTCGACTGGTGAAAGCAATAGTGGTAGCAATGTTTTCAGACAACCCATGATACCGGTGCGTAGGACCTCAATAGATCCGGTTAAGCAATTGACAACGGTAAGTAGTTAATAATATTAAAATTTTGAAATATTTATGTTCGAAAATTCATAATTTTCGAAATTTTTTTATAAAAACGTTATTTATTCTTTTCCCTTTTTCTTTCAGCTAACACGACAAAAAATGTCACGACAAGTTCTCGTTCAAAGACTTTTGCTACCAAGTAATGGTAGTGCAAATGCTACGACTCAATTGAATAGCAATTTAACAACAACAACAACATTAGCAACAACAACCACACCAATACCTGTTACCTCTAGCATCGTTTCATCATCAGCCGCAACTGTAACAGCAGCAATAAAAAGTAAAGAAGTGCCTTGGAATCAGGCTGACAGATATAAACCACAAACAACAACAGCCACAACAATCACCACTACAACTACATTAAATCAAAATCCCCAACAACCGGAAGCCTGCAATACAACATTTTTAAATTCATTAAAACTTAATAATTACGAAGAAATGCCCCAAACCTCAACATCACTTTATCAGGCACAATATAAAGATTTACTCGAATCCAGTGAGGACAGAATCGATGGTTCACCAACATCTGGCATACCTTCGGTAGATAGTGCTTTTGATGAAAGCTCTAGTAAGTATTTTAGTTTAGGCTTAAATATTAAAGATTTTCTTTTAATAAATTTTATTTTTTCTTTATATAGACAATAGTTTTTTAAATGGTTTGACTCCCATGCATCTTTTACGGGAAACCTCCTCCAATTCGAAATGGCTAGAGGATAATATAAATGATTTTTCTTTAACCAGTTTATTAGGTCATCTAGATGAAATCAATTCTAGTCGTGATATGCTGGTAAGTTTTTTGAACTTTTCTTTTGTTTCCTCCCTTTTTTACATTACTTTTACTTTTTTCAGGATCCTTCTTCAAACCTATCGGTTATAAGCGAAAGTAGTGTGGATTATATGCACAAATTTCAAGAGTTTAAAGCCTTATTTCAAAGTGATGAAAAGGATTAATCCTTTAGCGAATTTATTAATTAATTTCTTTATTTTTTTATTCTAAATTCTCTCAAATTAACAATGCAAAAAAAATTCTTTGGCCAAAAATGTTAAAAGAACGAAAAATTAAGTAAATTTTTTTTCTAAACAGTAAAATAAATTCATTTACAGTTTTTCCACCACTTAAATGAAATCTATTGTGCTCCCTTTTAATATAAATAACTTTGTTCAACAAAAAAATTAACCAAAACTGTGAATGCCTCTAATATTTTATTATTATATAGATTTTTCTTGTAACTTTTTTCTTTCTTGTTGTTGTTTGTTTTCTACTTTTTCCTTGACTTGTCTTTAGCTTTCCTTAATATATATTTTTTTTCTTTCTTTTAACAAATTTAAGTATTATTAATTTTATTATTAAACATTAAACTATTTGGACGTATTTTCCTTTTATTATTTAAGTTTAAGTTTAAAAACAAAACTATACATTTCTAATTTAAGCTTAATTATTACTAATGTAAATTACAAGAAAAACTAAATTACACATAAAATAGACTGTAGAAACTATTGTGGAACAAAACAAAAATACATCTTTAAAAATTAAAAAAATACCTATTTATAAAACAAACAAAAACAACTGGTGTTTTGAATATATTCGAAAATTCAAACTTAAGTTCGAAAAATTTGTAAAACTGTAAAAATAATTTTAAACTTTTGTAGGAGCTAAACGCATTTTCAATATAGGCTTTTTTTTTAGATATATTCGAAAATTCGAACTTATATAACTGCGAAAGTTCGAAATGTTTTTAGAACATTTTAAATAATCTCAGGATCATGATAATTCATCTACAATATAATTTTAGTTTTATTTTCTAAACAATTTCACAAATTTTCTAATTTCGAACATAGAAGTTTTGAAAATAATTTTAAAATGTTCATTATTTGTAAAGGTGGAAGTACACAACACGCGTTGAGGCAGCAACGCGTTTTACGCTTTTCAAACTTTTTGCGTTTTACAAGCTGCAAGTTACACACCACGCGTCATTTTGATCATTCTTTTAATGTTTTTTTCTAAGACTATTACTGTTTTAAAAACCAAAATTTTACGTTTTTGTTTATTTTATTAATATTTGTCTTTTATTTTTGGTGAAATTTATTTCATATTAGTTTATTCTTAAGGTGGAAGTATACAACACGCGTTGTACGCCGCAACGCGTTATAGGCTTCTGTCAAAAAAAAGTTGAAATAGTGTATTTTCAGCAACTTTCAACTTTTGACGCTTCGGCAGCTGATCAGGGTTGTATTTTGTTTTGTGTAGAATAAGAATAAACCAGTTTTTTTAATTTTATTTTATTAACAATTTCTTACATTTTCCATTGTTAAAGTTGCAAATTTTAAAAATTATTTAAAAAAATTTCCAAAATTTTTAAAGCATTTAAGATGTAATTTATAGACTACAAGACTTTGGTATTTGTGGGCAATTTTAAAAATTTTCCAAAAAAAAACTATCAAAGTATCACCCTGTGTGTTCCAATTAAACTCAAGAAAAAATGCATGCACAAATGTTATGGCATCCATTATGCGCAAATTGCTTTTAATTCGGGGAATTACACACAAATATTTGCTATAAATAGAAGCGTATTTAATATAATTGAAACGTCGTGCTATAAATGATCAAGAATATTTATGTTAGTTTTCAGTAACTGATTTGAATTGAATTTATTCGTTGATCGTCTTCCAAAGAAAATAAAAGTAAATAATAATTTAAAAATACTATTAAGGATTAAGAAAAAAAAATTATCTTTTTATATGCTATAGTGTATTTATTGGTAGTAGTGAAGTTTTCAAGTGAAAATACAAGTAAGAGTGTTATATTCGGCTGTGCCGAATCTCATATACCCACCATCAAACCGTATGCCGTAAAAGGAATGCTCCCATATAAACATCAGGGTGATGTTTGGAATATAGCTTAAGACAATTATGGACCGAGCTCTTTTGAACTAACAAAATATTAATTTTTAATATTTTGTACTGTACTTGTAATTATCAGAGTTTTCTTCATCAAATTTTCTAAAGAGGATCTCATATGTGGTGTATGGTCAATTGTTGACCTATCCTCATAACTTTTTGTAGACTGATTTTGGTTCATATAAAACTTGTTTACATTCGCTGTTCTCGCATTTTTATGCCAGCAATTAACGTTCATGTAATTTTATAAAGGGGCTTATATGGGGGGTAGGGTGAATTACCGACACTTTCCGCATGAAATTCGGAGCGAATTTCATAACCGTATTTCATAACTCATATTTTTAAGCCAGTAATGATCGTTTAAGAAATTTTCTAAAGGGGACCTTGTATGGGCTGTAGGGTAAATTATGGATTGATCCTCCCTAAATTTAGTGGAGAGATTTTGGCACGCATTAAACTTATGTGCGTCAATTTTCGTCACTACATTGATATTTTTAAGCCAGTAATGAGCAGTATAGTTATTTGCAGAGGGGGCCTTATATGGGGGAAGGGTCATTTATGGGCTGATCCAAAAAAAAAAATTGGTACCGAGATTTTGGCTCGTAAGAAACTTACGTGTGTAGCATTTTATCGCTTTACTCTTATTTTTAACACAGTAAAGCTATTTCCTGAAGTGGACCCAATAGGGGGAAAAGGGCCAATTATGGACCTATCCATATTAAAGTTATTAAAAAGATTTTGGCTCGCGAGGAACTTAATTGCGTAAAATTTTATTGCTATATTCGTATTTTTAGCCGGTAATGAGCGTTAAAGTCATTTTCAGAAGGGGGCCTTATATGGGGGTAGGGTCATTTATGGGCCGATCTTAAAAAAAAATTCCTAGAGCGATTTCGGTTCGTAAGAAACTTATTTATACCGAATTTCATCGCTATACTCGCATTTTTGGACCAGTAATGAGTGTTAAAGTAATTTTCTAAAGGGTACCTTATATGAGGGGTAGGGTCAATCAAAAGGGATTTCCCACTTTGTTATATTAAAGAAATAAAAATTTCAATAAAAAATACAAGTAATTAGATCAAATATGTTTAAAACTACTTAATTATTTTACTATTTTATTAAATTAATTTCATTTGTTTTATTTGTTCATTTATTAAGCCTCTATTTTTACCACCATGGAGAATGCCAGTAATATCGCCAATAAATCTCTTCACAAATATCCACAAGTTAAAAATTTTCTAGAAATCTTAACCAGGAATAGTGTTATTGAAACCAAAAAGGTGGGACGTGCATTCGATTATCCTGCAGGCATAATAAAAAACAAACTTTTCAGCAATTATGGCATATTTATGGATTATTTTATACGTAAAGTACTCTCCAATCAATATCAAATACCACTAACCGATGATGTTACCGAACTAGTACTAAAAGAACCGGATACTTACTTTAAGGATGGTGCCAAAAATTCCTACTTATCAAAAGCAATATCAAATCATTATGAAATTTTTAAAGATTCCAAAACTCAAGCAATGGACATTCTAAAAAGCATTAAATTGGTTTCTTTAACATATACCTTATCCTTTCACGATCCCCTACCAAAAGCAGAAGTCGAAAGTGACAACGAAAGTCTGCAAGAGATCATAAAATATTTTAAAAATCTTCCTTATTCCCATGTCGAAATGAAGGCATCGACCAACTGTAAATACTTTGAGGGAAATGCTGATTTAATATTTGATCAAGAAGTATTGTATGAAATAAAAACTTCTAAATATTCATCACTTTCTCGTAACCATAAAAATATCCATGTGACAAATTTCTATAAATTGATTTTATATGGTTTTGGTTATTATAAGAAAACGGGTAAAATTATTAAATGTTTTAAGATCTATAATCCTTTGCTGGGTCATGAACATACCCTTAAACTTGATGATATTGATATGAAACATTTTGAGCAAGTTTTAAGTAAGATGTAGAAAATAATATCTTTACTTTTTTATTGTTATATTATAGATTATTTCAGTTTATAAACTTTTTATGCCATTCTAATAAAAATGTTTTAAAACTACCAAATAAATAGTTTTATTAAAATGCTATAATTTAATATGGTATGTAAATTGGTGAATATGTTAGTCTGTAGAATTTTCAAATTAAACAGATTAAAAACAAGCTAATGTCGAATTTGAAATATGAACCTATGTAAAAAATTTGTTTTCCATATTTATTTCGAAAAGTGTAGATTACTGCCTTTGCTTCTATGCTCCTAATTTCTTTGTTTCCCTAGTCCATAGGAAATAAAGAAAAATAAATATGTTACAGCTCAAGCACTTGACAAAACTTTTGATAAACATGCTTCTTTTTTTTGTAGATTGGTTTTAATAAATAAAATTTAAAATAAACAATTACTCATATTACTTTTTATTAATAAACAAATACATTGCATTGTTTTCTTTTTATCTTTTTCCATTTCCAAGCTAAAGGAATATGTTATCGAAAACAAAAATACAACAGGCTATAAAAAAAGAATGATTAATAGGGTGGGTCGAAAATAGGCTTTTCTCTCGGATCAACACCTAATAGTGAAATTATTTTGTATTTTAACGTCAAATAGAAGACTGTAAATTGGCGCTTCGCCGCCAAAGTTTGTAAATGCGTTTTAATGGGAGAAAATGGCACTTTTTGTAGTTTTTTCTTTTCTCACAAAACGAGGCTTTAAGTATTAATTATTGCACCATTTTATAGGAAAATCGTAGACTATATACTAGACTATAGACTACACTATAGACTAGACTAGACTATAGACTAAACTATAGACTAGACTACAGACTAGACTATAGACTAGACTATAGACCAGACTATAGACTAGATTATAGACTAGACTCTAGACTAGATTATAGACTAGATTATAGACTAGACTAAAGACTAGACAATAGACTGGACTATAGACTAGACTGTAGACTGGACAATAGACTAGACTATAGACTGGACTATATACTAGACTATACACTTCACTATAGGCTGGACTATATACTAGACTATAGACTAGACAATAGACTGGACTATAGACTAGACTATTGACTAGACTATTGACTAGACTATTGACTAGACTATTGACTAGACTATAGACTAGACTATATACTAGACTATAGACTAGATTATAGACTAGACTATAGACTAGACTATAGACTAGACTATATACTAGACTATACACTATAAACTTGTCTATAGACTAGACTATAGACAGGACTATATACTAGACTATAGAATAGATTATAGACTAGACTATAGACAGGACTATATACTAGACTATAGAATAGATTATAGACTAGACTATAGACTAGACTATGTACTAGACTATAGACTAGACTGTAGACTGGACTATATACTAGACTATAGACTATACACTAGACTATAGACAAGACTAAAGACTAGACTATTGATTAGACTATACACTAGACTATAGACAAGACTATAGACTAGATATAAACGAGACTATAAATTAGACTATAGACTTGACTCTAGACTAGACTGTTGACTAGACTATTGACTAGACTATTGACTAGACTATTGACTAGACTATTGACTAGACTATAGACTAGACTAGACTAGACTAGACTATAGACTAGACTATAGACTAGACTATAGACTAGACTATAGACTAGACTATAGACTAGACTATAGACTAGACTATAGACTAGACTATAGACTAGACTATAGACTAGACTATAGACTAGACTATAGACTAGACTATAGACTAGACTAGACTATAGACTAGACTATAGACTAGACTATAGACTAGACTATAGACTAGACTATAGACTAGACTATAGACTAGACTATAGACTAGACTATAGACTAGACTATAGACTAGACTATAGACTAGACTATAGACTAGACTATAGACTAGACTATAGACTAGACTATAGACTAGACTGTAGACTAGACTGTAGACTAGACTGTAGACTAGACTATAGACTAGACTATAGACTAGACTATAGACTAGACTATAGACTAGACTATAGACTAGACTATAGACTAGACTATAGACTAGACTATAGACTATACTATAGACTATACTATAGACTAGACTATAGACTAGACTATATAATTGACTATATATAAGACTATAGACTTGACCATAGACTAGAGTCTAGTCTATAGTATAGTCTATAGTCTTGTCACTCACAGACTATAGACTAGACTAGGTTTGGAACTTGGTTTTCAGAATCCATTTACATGTTTATTCTATCCCATCCATTCTTTTCTTCTAATTTTTTCGTTAATTAAAACTAATTTAACACATTTTTTTATTAAGTATTTTTATTAAATGATTTTTCTCTTTTTTTTGTAATTTATGATGAACAGAGACATGTTTTGCTTTTTTTTATTATTGTAATAATGTAGTTTTTTTCTTTTCATTTTTTTATGGAACAAATTCTTATTACTTATTCAATATATTTGTTTTTTTTTCACTTTCTTAATGAATTTAAATTTAAGCTAAAAATCAGTTTTAAGGAAAAGGGAAAAGTGGGAATAGGGAAAAGGTTTTGGGCTGGGGTGTAAATATTTATTAGTTAATTTTGTTTTAATAATTTTAAAAACTGAAAACTTTTTGTTTAAAAAATGTGTTAATGTTGTAGTATATAGTATAAATATTGATATATTTGTTTTAAATATTTATTCAATGATTTGTTTAGTTTGTTTTTTTTTAATAAAATATTAAAATGTTGGGATTTTTATTATGTTTTTTTTTTTTTAATAAATAACAACAATTTCTTATTAGTTTTTAAAATTTACAAGTTTTTTTATACGAAATTTGGATTTTGTTTTTCTTATAAAAATTTGAATTATAACTATACATCAACTACTCAACTCGATGGGTAGAGTTTTTCAGCAATTTCGTATTATGTATGTATTTTATAGAATTTTTAAATTAAATTTCTCAGATAACTAATTGTATTTCAGATATTTCTAATTGTATTATCAAAATTTACAATTATATTTTAGAATTTTATAATTTAATTTTATTTCAATTCTGTTACAAACTATTTCTTATTTTAATTTCTAAATTATATTTATGAATTTTTCAAAAATTTACTAAAAATTTCCAAAATATAATTCAAAATTTCTGATATATAATATAAAAATTCTAAGATATAATTCAAAATTTCTGAAATAGAATTAGAAATTTGTGAAATTAAATTGTAAATGTTGTAGTTTAGGTAAGAAAACTACACAGGCCGCAACCCAGAAACTTAGGATTTCGAGATTTTTTTTGAAAACAAAAACTACAGTTTTTATCATATTTGAGATATTATAACAGGGCGAAAGTTTAAATTTTATTTGAAAGTTTTATTTATTAGCTTCAATATAAAGGTCCAATCTCTGTTATACATATATTGTTTCTTCTTTGAGATATCATAACCTTAAGTAGAAAGGAACTATGAAATCAGATTAGATTCCCATGACCCAAAATTTTTCCATTTTGTGAAAGAAAATTCTAATGTTTACGCCTCTTCTGGTACTTTTCGTCTTCCTAGTGATGTAATAAAAATTTTATTCCATATTCCGAATTTCCCAAAGGTACCAAACTTCTATTCGTATTTTTTCAATAAGGTACGAACGTAATATAAATTTTATTTCTATGTTTACAGGTTTAAAAGATACATGAGGTCCAAAAAAGTAATATAATACAATTTTTACCCGTTTACTCCCAAAATGAACCGAATTTCGTAAAAAGCACCATTTTTTAAATGGTGGCATAAAGTACAGTGACATATTGGGCATGGACACACCAAAAAGTGTCATAGTGTCGATGGACGTTATGACAATTCTTAAAAGTGTCATAAGGTCCATAAAAAATTTGTTTAGAATTTAGAAAAGAGACACTCTTATCCCGAAAAGAATTGCTCCTAAATTTGATGAATGTTGCGTTTTGGATTTCTTTAAAAAAGTCTTCTAGATAGACGGCCTTCGGCCGGCTTAGTGGTTGCAAACTCTGGGGTTTTATCTCGCTAAATTAGGCTTTTTTGATAATTGGACTCTTTGAGATCCATGGACTTTATGGCATTATGCTCATAGACATTGTGACACTTTTGAAATTGTAATAACGTCCAGGGACATTATGTCACTTTTTTGTATCCATTTTACTTTAGGAGATATGGGGTTACCAAATATATCCGTTTTTCCCCTTTTTACTTCTAAAAATTGGAATTTCCAAAAATCTCTCCTTGTTGGATCTAGATCTAGATTATTGGTCATCGATGACCAAAAATACATCTATATGTAAAAATATCATGTTTCTAGGTTTAGAACAGTAACGCATATACATATATAAATAGAAGATGGCGACTTTGCTCAGTTATAATGTCTCAAATTTATCTAGAAATGCGGAATTTTCAAACTTTAGTCCAATATATCTCGAAACCCTAAAGTAATAGAGAAATTCTGCGATTATATTCGTTTCCACTGCTCAATCTCGTCACAAACTTACGCCTGGTAGAAATTTCAAAAAAAAAATTTAATTATTTTTTTTTTAATTAAAAAAAAATTTTTATAAAATAATTATTAAAAGCAAAATTGTAGTTATTTCATGACTGTTTACTAAATAACTTTATATGTTTTTAATTTAATTTCCATTTTATTTTTCTTATATAGGAAAATTTTAGCTGTTTTTTTTCTTAGTTTTAATATTTTAATAAATTTTTTTTAATAATTTGTTTTTATTAATTTATTTCATACACCGGGAGAAATGTTGTTTGATTTCCTTTAAATTTTATCTGCTTTTTCAGAATATATCATTTGTTTAAGGATCTTTTGTTGTTGTTTGTTTTAATGTAGTATGTTTTGTTTTTTTTGTTTCATTTTTGTGACTCGAGGACAATTTTAAAACAAAAGGCACATTTATTGTATGAATTCTTTGTTTTTTTATTCAATAGGCTGGTGATAATAAGGATTTTTTTTGTTGGTTTTTAATTTTAGTTTTTTTTATTTTATTTATTATTCATCTTAAGAAATAAAACGTTTTAGTTTTTATTTTTAATGATTTTTTTCTTAAAATGTAGTGTA